CTGTATTTTGCATCTTGGAACCACTGCAAGAAACTGCATCCAGCACTGTGTTCACTCGGTCTTTCGTTCGCACAGACCGCAGAGAGTCTATCAACATGAAAGATTTGTTGACGCTCCGTCAGCCTGTTTGGTGGCATGTGGACGCGCTCGCTGTTTTGTGTTTGGTGTGACAAAGCGCGTGCTCTTTATGCAGCGGTAGCCCGCTGGATTGTCACACATGAACGTAGACTTTTATAAAAACAAAACGAAACAGTCTTCCGTTCTTGTCACACTTTGAAACACATGATCATCGGTATAGACATTTGTCACAACCATGTTGGCGGTCGCCCGCCCAAAGTTTCACATATATTCACGCGAGTGCGTCTTAAACATGTGGTCACAATCAACATTGATATCGCGCGAATCGACTAGAACAAATGGCGAGGACAACCTCGCTAAAAAAAAGAGACCGAGGACCACCTCGAAGAAAAAGAACAACAAACCAAATCTATTGTAACCCATGCTAGAAAATTGCGCGCGTCTATGTGGGCTGTGGGGCCTGGAAATGTGTTCTTCCATAGCAAAAAAACTACAAATACCAGTTCTGGAGCCAAAAATTGCAGGTGTTTTGAAAACAATTGAAAACCATTTTTGCGTAGCAACTAACAAGTTACAGAAGTTATAACTTACTTACAACTTAGTTATAACTTCCTAATACCTAAGTCCAATAACTTGCTTATAACTCATTTATAACTCTGGTAACATAGTTATAACTTCTTTAAGTTGAGGGGCCCATCACTGTGTGGATGCGTGTTCAACTAACCAGGTCAAAACAGGTGAATCGTCAGGAAGTTTCTCACCATAGTTCGACTCGATTGCGGCTCGAAGAGTCCTGGCTTGTCCTTCCCAGGTTTGAACTGCTCGTTCAATCTCTCCCTTGGACTCTTTGACTCCTTTCGGGCTCTTCTCGATGATCAGGGTTCCTTCAAACCCATTCTTTACTGCCTCAACAACAGAGGTGAGAGCAGGTTCAGGATCATGTCGAATGATCAGTTTGGAGTATCCTAGTTTCTTGATGTCGTTCAGAAGTACTTTGGATCCATATGGACCTTTTGTCACACCTTTGTAGGGTAACACATGAGCAAAAAGATGCTTCGTCCATCGATCTCTGACAACAAGAATTGGTGCATGAGTCTTCTCGTCCAAAACTACATCATCAGTTCGTGAGTTCGTGAAACAGTAATCTACAGTTACAACTGGTGTGGTTTCGTCTGTGTGGTCCACTCTCCTGTGTGGGTTTGCCTTGGCCTTTCCCCTAACACAGGCCTCACACCAGGAACGAAAAGGAAAGTGTGAAACAACGTGTTCTTCAAGCTCTTTTCGCGTTCGGCGAACTGGAGCGTTGATCCTGAGCTCAGGTGGAATTTCATCACCTGGCTCGGCCTCAGCGGCTTCAAAATCTGCCGGGGCCTCTTCGTCCATCACCGGACTTACCCACTTCGGTGCCGGGTGAAATGGTGGAACACGATCGGCACGGAGTAAACTCCGTTGCAAAAGGAGATTGGGATCTTCTTCCCATCTCGAGCAATGTGTCCTCCAGTCTTGCTCATCTGGATGGACCAGCCCTTGTCTGCGAGGGCTCCTGCAGAAAGTAACGGCTTGGAGACAGCCATCACT